GCTCCTGTTTAGCAGTTAAATAGCAATTAAATTACATCGCATTCTCTGTTTTATCCAAATTGTTTGTTTTAAAACAAGTATTCCTTAGTTTAGTATCCGCACATTGTTTTAGTATACATTTTTTAAAACATATATTGTGGCAGTCATAAGGAGCACACACGATTGACTGTAAACACGTCTTTATTCCACGACTGCCGACAAGTGGATCTATTCTGAACAAGGACAGAATAGTGTCCACCATAATAGTTATTAAAAGAAAAATAAATAAAAGTCCGCTAGAGAGAAGCCCGACCCGAACCTGTTTTACTTCCGCATTCCTGTCGTTTTGGTCCGGAGCAGAAATTGCACGTGTGACCGCAAGTGGAGCTGCTTCGACGCTGCGCCGGAGTTGTAACGCTCAGCGGCTTTGCACGTGTGAACGCTCCACAAAATTTGCTCCGGTGTAAAATACATCGCAACAAAATATTTCGGTGCAGCGTCGGACCAAATTTGTGCCGTGTGAACAGGGCTAATGTGGCTGCGAGAGCAATTTCATCTTCGAGAACAGTCAGTTGTACTATAAATAGTTCTTTTATACTGTATGTCAAAATGAAAAGAACAGCGAAGTTAGAATTTAAACAGTGCATATCCACACAAAGCTTGCACGATATACAGAAGAGCTGCAGCAAATAATTTGCCTTTGCAAAGATGTTCAGTTGTTGCTGGCCGATGTAGAACGAGGGTCATCATCAACACAATGCTCTCCAAGCCCCGCATTATTGTAGCCTGTGGGACTGTTCTAAAAATAGCTCGCCAGTTACGAGACGCAAGCAGTGTTGTAGGACTGATCATTCGAAAATGTTCACACTTGGAGAGATTTAAAGGAAAAAAGTGTTGAATAGTCCCGTTTCCTATCTTGCAAAATTGTTGGTAATAGCGAGAACTCCTTAACGGGATCCGTGTCTTTACAAAGATGAATCTCATCAATTATCGGTAATGGGATATCATTAAAGGTCATTTGAGTGAAATTTCTTATTGCAGAAGTGTGTATCAAACTGGTAGCACTTTGCATTAGTCGGGCGCCGAGAACTTGCTCTCAGTTTCAAAAAGCTTGCTGACCTCTGGTGTCAGGTGGAAGCAAAACAAGTCGGCGTTTAGTCCTTGACTTTCATCTGGAGTGATTCATCCCATTTGACTAGAGTGACCACTGATGCGTTGATCCGTGTTCTTTTTTTTCCTCTCGCAAGGTTCTGTCACTGCCCCATCGCCGTTTGGTGTGTTACTGCCGCCTCTTTGAAGTGCCAGATCCAAACAAGCTCCAGAAGCTGGGCCTGCATCAGCGGGAGATCTTCCTGTTCAATGACCTACTCGTGGTAAATGTCGCCCTCATTTCTTTGCCAGTTTCCTCTTCTTTCCAGACAGCCAATTCTCACCTCATCGAGTCTTTGTATGTTTTTAGGTGACAAAGATTTTTCAGAAGAAGAAGAACTCTGTGACGTACAGCTTCAGGCAGTCCTTCTCCCTTTATGGCATGCAAGTCATGCTATTTGAAAACCAATGTAAGTTGTTTGGATGGGGTTTGAGGTTGGGTTTATGACTGTGAATTTTGTGAAACCATATAAATGTTGAAACATATTACATACACAGCGAACAACAAATTGATGTATAACTAGTTTTGACATCAGAAGTCAAGAATAATGGATTATTCAAAATTTGTAATTATTACATTACATATGACAATTTGAAATTTTCGTTCAGACTTTAGCAAGCATCATCGAAGTTGACATGCTTGAATTGCTTTCGTGGGCCACATAAAAGGATGTGGTGGGCCAGATCTGGCCCCCGGGCCTTGACTTTGACACCTGTGTACCATACACTATAAAACATGACAGTTGAAAGGTGCCCACTTTTTTACTGTTTTAGCCAATCCAGATGGTAGAAAGTAGGCCTCTCTTTCACTGGTTTTGTCAAGATCCTCCACTTGCACCTCTCCTGTTTTGAAGAGAGCGCAAGGAGGGTGTAAGCCATTGAACATTCTTTCAGGACGCCGTTGGGTCCCTAAAGTCGGTAGCAAGTAGCAATAGTTTGTGACGGCATTGGCTCAGAGTCTGGAAAGCAAGTCAAGTCAGCTGTTATGCCACAACGCGCTGCCGGGTACAACTTAAAAAGAAGAGCTGACCAAGGCATTGATGTTTGCATATTGTTGCTTGGGTAAGGTTTATTTTGAAGTTGGCCTTCTTAACATGTTGGCGCATAATGCATAGCATGAACTATTGTTGCTGCGGTGCCGAGGTACAGGTAGACGCACCGTTAAACAAGGTGTACATTGTTTTTTTTTTTTTTGGTCACCTGTGTATAATCCCCCCACCCCCGATTTGGGATCTTTTTTTATTTAGGGAGGGGGAGGGGGGCAAATGCTTATTATGCACAAATTTTACAGTAATCTAATCTTCGAAGGTGCAGTGGGAAAAGATTAAATTATTACCGGTATTTATCCATACTATTATCTGTCTACTCTGTGTGCCCTGCGTTTGTCTGGCAACCGGTTCAGGGTGTCCCCCGCCTACTGCCCGAAGACGGCTGGGATAGGCTCCAGCACCCCCCGCGACCCTTGTGAGGATAAGCGGATCGGAAAATGAATGAATGACTGAATATTATCTGTCTAAGCTAACGATTTAAGGTGACAGACAAACCAATGAAATGCTCTTCCATTCAATGGCAGAAGGTACAAAAATGCTGCTGTTTCTACAACAGAAGAAGTCAATTCCTGGAAGTGTGTCAGTTTGGTGTTCAGTAAATTGAGATGAGATCATTATTTTGGTGTTTTTGTTTTAATGGTGTCCTGTAAGATGTCCTTTACGCCAAATGGCAGCCCTACCCTCATAAAGTTTGGGAAACAGTCCATTAGACCACATGTCGTAAGAAGAAAATGTGATTAGCATTTTGAAGTGCTTTAATGCGCACTCGGGGAGCTCTCCATTTTTTTTTCCATTTTCGGTAGGAATGAGGAATATCAAACTAAATTCACGTTTTTATGTCCACTTTGGAGCTGGCTTCGTGAGCTTCTTTGAGAAGTCAAAAATTAAATAAGGTTAAAGAGTTGGCCCTACGTGACAGAGGTAATACCAAACGTTTTTCAACTTTGAGTCAACTCAGTTCAAATCAAGGACGGGTGTGTCTCCTCTCTGCAGATTATCCAAATGGAATCAGACTTACATCAGCCATCCCAGGTGCGGACATCAAAGTCCTCATCAACTTTAATGCGCCCAACCCCCAGGACCGCAAAAAGTTCACAGACGACCTGCGAGAGTCCATTGCTGAGGTTCAGGAAATGGAGAAATACAGAATAGAATGTGAGCTGCTGTTTTCTTTTTTTCACTCTCCTCCCCCACTCTCGCCCCCCTCTCTCTTTCTCTTACCAACCTCTCTCATTAATCTGAGGCTGCGAAAACAAGTGGGCTTCGCATGATTGCTACCAGAGGGGAACTTTTTTTCTGGATATTCAGTTAATGCTTCAATTGTAACAAAATTACACTTGTAGATTCAGGCGTTGCAAATGCATTTGAATCATTGACTGTGTGAACACGCAAGCCACCAAGCACTTAACGCAGGCATTTTTGGGATCCTTTTCACAGCCGAGCTTGAGAAGCAAAAGGGGGTGGTGAGGCCAAGCATGTCGCAGAGCTCCGGCTTGAAGAAAGAGACTGGGAATGGCAGCATGAATCGTGCAAGTCTGGATGACACCTATGCCATGGGCGAAGGTCTCAAGAGGAGCGCCCTCAGCAGCTCCCTGCGAGATCTCTCCGAAGCAGGTACCACCAGCGCGCGCACCGTTGTCTTTTCCAGATGTTAAGTTGATCACTTATTCGTGATAGCAAAATGTTCTTTCACTGCACGCTACATTCATTGGCTTTAGAGCCTCCTCACCTTTAAGTCCAATGTCCCACCCATTGAATACTTTGCTTTTCCACATATATGTCGTATGGCCTACAGTGACAAGAGACTATATTTTTTCTTTACCAGCCATTTTGAAGGTAATGTTGGCTGTACTGTGGTTACATGGTACTGATTAACTTTATTGGGTTTTCTTCTTGCAAATTTTTATTTGCTGGGACAGGGACACGTTTACCATTGAATTACACCACATTTCCTTTTAACAACACTTAATGAGCATTTGGGAACGAGGACACTCAATGGAATTATTTTCCATTCTTGCTTGATGGACAGCTTCAATAGCTCAACAGTCCGGGTTCTTCACATTTGCGCTTCATAATGGCGCACATTTTCAAAGGCAGACAGGTCTGGACTGCTGGCAAGCCACTCTAGACCTCGGCGGCTCTTTTACTATGAAGCCGCGCTGTTGTAACAAGTGCTGAATGTGGCTTTGCAATGTCTTGCTGAAATAAGCAGGAGGCTCCCATGACCACTAACAAACTCCCATACCATCACAGACGCTGGCTTTTGAACTTCGCACTGATGGTAATCCGTATGGTCCTTTTCTTCTTCGGCAAGTAGAAGACGACATCCATCATTTCTCAAAACAATTTGAAATATGGACTCGTCAGACCACAGTACACTTTTCCACTTTGTGTCAATCCATCTCGGATGGCCTTGGGCCCACAGAAACCGGCAGCGTTATTGGGAACTGTTGATAAATAGCTTTTGCTTTGCGATGGTCGACTTTTTACTTGGCATTTGTCGTTGTAGCAACAAACTGTGTTAAGTGAGAAGAGTTTTCTTTCAGTGTTCCTGAGCCCACACAGCAATATCCTTCACACAACGATGCCTCTTCTTAATGCAGTGACGCCGAAGTGCTTAAAGGTCACGGGCATTCAGTGGTGATTTTAGGTCTTGCCGCTTGCATGCAGAGATATCTCCAGATTCACGGAATGTTCTGATGATACTTTGGACCGCAGAAGATGAAATCTCAAAATGTATTCAATTGTACGTTGAGGGACATAGTCCTATAATTATAATGTTTGACTATTTTCTCAGGCAGTTGTTCACAAAGAGGTGAACCTTGCCCCATCATTGCCTGTCAATGACTGAGCAATTCAGGGAAGCTCCTTTTATACCCAGTCATGGCACCCACCTGTTCCCAGTTAGCCTGTTGACATGTGGAATGATCCAAACATCTTTCCCAGCCTCTTGTTGCCTCCGTCCCAGCTTTTTTTGAAACGTCAAATTCAAAATGAGTAAATCTTGGCAATAACGTTTAGCCGTTTGAACATTCAGTATCTCCGTTGCCGTGTATTCCTTTGAATAGAGTGAAAAAGATTTGCAAATCATTGTATTCTGTATCATAAAGTTTTACATAGTGTGCCACCTTAGAAAGTTTCATTAGATTTGGGATTTGTATATACTGTATGTGTGTATTAAGTGTATATATGTATCGATATGTATGTGTGTGTGTAAGTATATACACTGTGTGTGTCTATGTATACTGAATATATACACTTATACATAATGATGCAACTATATTCACAATCTAGAAAGCAAAGCATGAGGAGACTGTTGTGGAAAATCACAGGTGCAGTCAGTGAATGGGGCAATCAATCCTTGCCGACATCCTCTCAAAATCATCACACTTGCCTGAGTTTCGCTAGTTTCCTCTTCCTTGACAATTTTGCCATGTTCGAGTGATTTCGTAATAGATTTTGAGTGGCAGCTGCATTGGTAGGTGTGTGGTGCTCAATCGCTTGGTGTGCAGCGAGGTGCCTACGATTATTTTTCACGATGGTCCTCTGCAGTAGGTTTCAACTACGTTGCTCGGTGCTAGGTGGACCTTGGATATATTTGAAAAATAATCACTTTGATGTTTAAGACCAGCAATTTGTATCGGATTAAATATTTTCTGGGCGCAACCAAGAGACCCATAATCTTTGTGGTTCCTTTCTTTTTAGAAACTGTCATCAAGTATGAGAACCATTGCGGTAGTCTGCCCATGAATGCAATGTTTATAGTAATGATCTAATCCCACGAGTCATAGTTCTGTAGCCATAAAAACACAGTGAAGTCAAGCCTGCTTTAAACTGTGTGGTTTTACAATAGGTGAGTTGTTTCATTTTTTTCAATCATTTCGGCTGTGATGAATGAAATTGTCAGGCAGCCCCCACCCACTGACCATGAGATGAGGAGCAAGTTCATTCATGTTCACTTTTTTTTTTCCTAAACACTTTGCATCTTTACATTTTCTTTCATCCAAGCACATCGTCATGATAGTTTGGGTAGCAATCGCGTCCCCATTTACTCTCATGAGTATTTGTCACGCAACCAAATCTGCCCTGATGGCTCCTGTTCTATAGTGCAGTAACAAGACTTACGGTCAAGGCTTACGATTGGAGGACGAATAACAGCCGTGCCGAACACGACTGCTCTCTCTTTGCCGCAGCGATTCACTTCTTCCACTAAAGATCGAAAAAGAGCGACGTGAAGTTATCAAGTGATTCTCTTGATAACTAAATGAAATCCAATCCAGGGTTCTGTCTCATTCTTGCTGAAGATGTCCTGCAAAATGATCGATCCGTCACTCTAGAAGTTGATTCCTTTCGCCCTGGTTTTCCATGCAGGATATTGCTTTTCGGGGGTTTCTTTGATTTCTTTTCCTGCCATACTACATTCCATGTGTATTTACCGTTACTTCCATACACATCAGGTATTTTCCTGTTTATGTGTAATTAGCGGTCATGTGTCATTGGCTGAGTGTGCCTACCGACAGCCCTCAGACCTCTCTATGCCTGTACATCCCATGTGTAACAGCCACCGTATTGCTTTGGATGTTTCCCCTCCTTTGTGACTGTCACTGAGGCTGCTTTGGTCATTTGGGACTGAAAGCTTGTCACATTTAATCAAGACAGCTTGGGGGGGAATGTTGGTACCCTGCAAGAAACTTTTTTTTTTGGGGGGGGGGGGGTTACTTGGGATGGGGGTTGCTATCTGACTTCATCCAATAGTGTTCAAATTCAAACGATTTGCCTATGAATTGACTGAGCCTGTAGTCAGAAATGCGCTTTAAATTCTAACCTGTGCAAGGAGGCTACTTCTCAGTAAAGATGTGGCGCTTCATGGGTGTTTCTCAATACCAAAGTTGAAAGGAAATAAAAGGTTGAAAGAATGATCTCCGAGAGCAGCCATGTCGACCACCGCAATACTTGGTGAAAGGCAATGTTGAGATAGCTGGCGATCTGAACTCCCCACCCCACATGTCGGCACGAAGAGCACATCCTAGTCCTTAAAAGAGCTCGACTTTGAATTGGAATAGTACGTGGTTCTTGGTCCAAAGTTTCTCGAGTACACAAGAATGCAATATTGAGAAACAGCCAGCGTACCAACCATCTGGCCACTTCCCGCCCATACTGGGGCCTTACTCACAGTCACAATACGCCGCGCTGCCCCCTACTGGAGCGGCAGGCAGCCTAAACGTCTGCGGTTGCTCCAGGAGTCGCTGTCCATCTCTAATCTGTGGTATTGCATGTCTCGGGCAGGCAAGCGGGGGCGTCGCAGCAGTGCAGGATCACTAGACAGCAATATGGAAGTAAGTTGGAAGCAGCTGGTCTCCAAGCCACTCTTCATGTGATGATGTGCACTGTGAAAACACACCATTTCTTTTTTTTGGTCTGACACCTCCTTTGCTTCATAGACTCAGTCCATTTGTTTGGATCATGCATTTTTTTTTCTTCCTGGGATGACTTATATTGACCTGCTTGCCTCCGTGTAGTGTGCATGCCTGGGTCGCCTGCCTCTGGTCCCACCCCCTTTTTTCGGAAGCAAAACAGCCCCAATTTTGGTCGTGCCATTTGACCAAAAGTCATATCCTCAGCAAAGCATGACTCGACTAATCCTTTTCTTGTCGCCTGTCTCTGTCTTTCATTCACTCCCATCCAAGCGGTTTTCATTTAGTTGCTCTTCTCTCAGGCGGGTAGCTGAGTAAGACGCCAGCTAGTCTTTTGTAGACTCTCTCGCTGTCCAGAGCTCTCTTTACCCACAATTTCTCAGTCCCATATACGGAAGGCTGGAATCGTGGGGCTTTCACAGTCCGAAATCTACTGCCGGGCAGACTAATAATGACGTGGATTTCATTCACTGATCTCTCGCTCGCACCATTTGCCTATGAGTTCCTGTGTTGTGTTCAAGTCTGGAAGCCTGAGAAATGACATTCTGCTTTCAAAGGCATCACGCGGTCTCCTTGAGCCTGAGCGGAAGCATGAGTCAGAGGATGAGAGTTCATGCGTGCATATTGACAACAGGGGCAGCAGTCAGGCCTGCCGTCAAGTGTCCTGCCCTTATAACGATCCAAATGCTAAGCTGTGAATGACGAGTCCGCCTGTCACGTCCTCTGCATGCGTACGGGCGGTGACCTCTGTTTACTTTAACAAAGATGCATGTGTGACTCTGCCACACGTCCTCTCGAGACCCTTTAGTTCTGTGACATTTGTCAAGTCAGCTCTGACACCCACCCCCGCGTTGAACTATTTCTGCTGCACACCATGAAGACATTTCAGTTTGTCATTTGCATGCCCGAAAACATTTTGCTACTTGAAATAAGAAAAATCCAGAAGAGCTGATGATGTGCTTCATGTCTGACGGACGTGCTGTTGCCTTTATCCTCCGCAGGGGTCCATCATTAGCAGCCCGCACACACGCCGAAGAGCCACCACCCCGCGTGAGGGCACCTCACGCGAGCATCCCCCCCTCCCCACCTCGGCATCCACCTCCATCCTGGGCTCGCTGTTTGGCAGCAAGAGAGGCAAACCGCCCTCCCAGAGCCACGGGCCTTACCCGCCGCCTGGTCACCCCACGCTCATATCCCACAAGCCCCACCCGACCAACCTGCACCACACGGCGCAGGCGGTGCACGGCGTGCCGCTGCCGCACCACGGCCACCACCCGCAGTACTGCCAAGTCCCTCAGAACCCGCCGCCTTACCACCACCACCACCACTACCACCCGCCGCCGCACACGCAGTACCACAAGCACCCCGCCTACTCCTCGCACGCTCATCCGCAGCACGCCCAGCACAGCCACTACAGCCAGCATCCGCATCACAGCTCCCACTCGCAGCACGCTCCCCACCACCACAGTAGCCAGCAAGCAGGCGCGGCACCCGGCGGACCCAAAAGCAAACACAGTGGCATCAGCACCGTCGTGTGATGACACGGCGGCGAGGAGGGACTGTTTCTGACACCAAAGGGACTTGATCGACGGCGCGGCTTGACGGCCTGTCCACTGTGTTTTTCTGCTGCTGCCATGAAAACCTACCTGCAGGCACTGTTTCATCTCCACGTCCAACTAAGAAGCAGGATGGACAATTGGACCACAACTATCCCACCAGGGGCCTTTATTAATAGTTTGTTTGATTCCGGGTTTGCCCCTTCCTGCCTCTCCCCCCTCGTGGTGGCGGGTGGGTCTGTGCAGGGAGATGCCCTTTGTTGTTCACAACACACGCACACACATCGCCGGGCTGCTCTGCCCCCCCCCCCCCCATATAATCTGGAGGACCGACACCCTGGCACATCAATGATGGGGCATTGCCGTGCACAGCTTTTTCAGTTTGCAAACCCCACGGATGCTCTTTGTCCTCGCCTCCGATAGAGCTCACATGTAATCAAGCTATAATCATTTGACTGACCGGAGGACAGGTAAGCAACGTCCGAGTCATATTAGTTCTAGTGCTGTATTTACTGTAGATGACAGCTGTATGTGTTGTCTCCTAGCGCTCATACATAAATGTGCCAATTATTAACACATAATCTATTTAGTCAAGACTTCCTGTACAGTATGTCGTGCGTGATTTGGAAGATTATACTTACAATCATTATTATCAGCAAAAAGTCTCAGTATTATACTGACTCCGGGGGTAGCGAGCTTGTAGATGCGGAAGCAGTGAATCAGCCGATCTTGGCCTTTCCAAAGGAGGCGAAGGAGCTTTGAGATGGCAGCTGTCGCAAAGGCACAACATTGACTCTTCTTGTCGACGGCCCCTTGGAAGTACAACTTTGTCATTGCAACTCACAAAATTCGATTTTAGACGGAGGCGACTGTTGAAAGAACTGCTCACAACAGGTGCCGTCGCCACTCGTTAAATCCAACTCGAAACCTTTATAAGAATTTTTTTTTCCTTTTCTGCTTCTACCTTTTTTTTTAACCTCACCGACAAGTTTTGGCGAGTGACTGAAATCCGTTCTTACACAGTGAAGTCTTTTGTTTTTGTATCAAATGTGCAATATCTTTGTACTGATTCGGAATGAGCAAAGTGTCCCTAAGATTTGTGCGGTTTGTTTGTTTGTTTGTTTGTTTGTTTGGTTGTTATTTATTTTTGTTTTTTTGGCCCCTCTCAGTCTAAATTAATGATCGCTGCAAGGCTCAGAGCCCGGTGGAATGTCTCGTGATTTTTTTGCATGTACTGTTATTGATGTGAGGTTGTCCTCTGCACATTGTATAACAAATCAGTGTTACCATAGCAAGTTTAAGTGCAATCATGTTCCCAAATGCAGACTTGTACTGAGAGCGAAAGTCTTCTGTTATCCAGAATGAGATTCAGGTGATAGATAAACCTTTTTTCCCCCCTCCATTTAGGAATATATTAATACCTACAAGGGGACTATAGAGAGAGAAGGAATGTGTGTATATATTTTGTTAAAGGAATACGTCTTGGGCTGAGCAGATATATTTTGCTGGACAAGCACATAAAATAACTTGTTTTGTTTCAATAAATGCAGTTATACCGCAGAAATGTAAAGTGAACAAAGAAACTTGGAGTATGTAAAGAATAACTTTGTACATTCAACAAATAAGAGTCTATTCTGGTGTGCACATTGGTGACAGTAGACAATTTGTTCCAATATTCAGGTTTTACATGTATATTAAGAGTCACAAAGAACTCCATGGCCATCGGTCAGGCTTCCCACCTTCCAGGTTCTCACATATCGGACGGGAGCGATCAAACTGAATGTCTCTTTCTATTGCGTTCGATGTTCTGCTATGATTCCGGCCCTCAAGTCCCCTTCGTGTTTGCTGTGTGTTGTCTACAGTCATTTCTTTGTGAGAAGGAACCCCAATAATGCACTGCATGGATCTGATGCATCACAAGTCACTGTGAGCTGAATGGTGGGCGGGGGAGGGGAAATTCAGCCAATCATAGAAACTGGCTTCGTTTTTTTTTTTGGTTGTTTGTTTTGTTCGTTTGTTTTGTTTTATGGTTTGGAGTTTGCCAATGTTGCCGTGTTCTTGTTGTTTTTGGTGTTAGGCCGGTTATTATTGAAGCTCAGCATGCATTTCATCAACAAAGCCATTGTGTGTACATTCGAAACCTGAAGAACATTGCACTTCCTTCGCTGAGGGCTTTCATTGTGTAAATATGAGATTTGGATGTGCAAACTGCTTGGAAGGAGGATTTATCTTTACGAGGATGTAAAGGGACCAAGTTGGTGGTTATATGATACTGTACATATTGTGAATATGATCCATACTTTATTCTGATATCTGCAGTTTTGATCAGGATGTACAAACATCACCTCATAGAATGAGTGAGGGTTCAACATATCGATTGTCTCGGGAACTGACATTTGCTGTAGAGATCAAAAGCAGACTGTTAGAAAAGTTCGCTGCCATTTTCATCACTCTCCTTCCGTGCAAACACACGCGCGCACAGACACACACAAACACACATACACACAACCACCAGACAAATGCATCTTGCCGCAAGCTGTTTAGTCTGGTGTAAGACTCATCAAATAAAATGGACAAACAAAAAAGGAAAACTCAAGAATGGCCTCATTTACGTGTGCATTCTGTTTGTACAGTGAGTAGTGAGTCAGTAAGACCCCAGTTATTGTAAAACTTCAACTGTGACAATGTTGAGAACGCAAAATAAAACAAATATATGACTTACGGTAACGTTTTTTTGTCATTTCTACCTGCCCGCCATGACTGGTTTCGTTTATTCTACAGTGTGCGGTAGTCCGTAATGTGTTGCGGTAATTTCACCCGAGGACAGTGCCAGTCCGCCACCTACAGGTCAAAAGTATACCTGCAACATGAATGCAGTACAGTCCTGCTGTACATCAAAATGGCTCTTAGCCTCTTACTGTATTGTGTCACTTTTTTTTCTTATTTTTTTACCACGTAAATGACGAAACGTTTTTGGCTTCTACGCGTTTTTACAGTTCGCCTTGTCAAGTGTGTCACATTTACATTCTCATAGGAGTACTGTACGACTGAAAAGTGTTGTGTAATGACCCTCCAGTTAGTGGAGGCAAAAGTCAGTAGCATACTAGTAAAGAGTGTGTGAGCGCATCTTATTGGCTGTGCTATTTTGTTTTACTTTTTTCATAAGATAACTCTTATCTCATCCGAACAGAGGGATTTCCACCACCGTCGCCTTGGTCATTGGGGAACACACTGCGGTTGCGTAAACAACGCGTCAGCTGAAGTTTGAAACTTCTCAATACATCACTGGACCAGAACAATAAACATATCAGAAGAATTCGAGGATGACTACAGAGATCATGAACAACTTCACTGGTGGTTTGACCCTGAAAGGTTTGTTTTCTTCCCGTGATTATAACTTTTGGCGTTACGAGTTCAAATATCAGAAGGCCTAAGAATTTCTGATTACACTTGTCATGTTGCATTCTGACGGCTGCTACTACTGTTTTAATATCAAATAAGGCCTGAAAAGTGAATTGTGGAGTTAAAGTACAATTTTGAAGTGTAATTTAGCTAAGCCAAGGCCTAAAGGTGAACAAACGTTTTCCTTACCAAAATAAAAACAAAATGATTTCATAAAAAACAACTGAAACTATATCTTACGTTTGTAAAACTAACTAGATGATTATAGTATATTACAGTGAACATGTTCTCCGTTTAAGCTTTTGTCAATTAATACCATACTTGAGCATTCTGAGGTCCTCTTAAATAGAGGTACAGTACACTATTTTGCTAATGATGTACTTCCGTCCAGAAGAAGGAACATCAAAGTCATTTCAGAACAATGAGTGACTTTTTTTTTACCTTGCATTCGTCAAATATTCCCTTAATTTAAAAAAAAAAAGCTCAGACAAATAAAACCTAAACTAAACTGCAGAATTGTTGAAAAAATAACAGCTGACTTTATGAAAAAAAAGTCAAAACTAATATGCAAATTCAAATATTGCTCAACAAAGTAGCTTTAAAAAAAAAAAATTTTAAAAAGCCTGGATTTTTTTCTGTACTACTTATCCTCACTGGGTTCACGAGTGAGCAGTGAGCAGAAGCCTACAGGATATGCCAACTGACTTTTGACAGGCAGGGCACACTGGACTAGTTGCCAGCCAAACGCAGACGGTATCAATAAGCTATTGATTAAATATTGATTAAATATTAAATAAGCTATTGATTAAATATTCATGTCAAACTTGATGATTGTTTGTTGATCTTTGACAGATGGAGACACTCACGTTTATCAGCTGTTTCATTAATCAAAACAACATGAGTTTTGCCAACTTAAATGTTTATCTGTCGTCCTTTGCCTGACTGTAGATTGTTTTCCCTCCCTGCTCATTTTGAATGCGCACGACCCTCTCTACAGTGAGGAACCAAACACACTGACGGGTTTGACTGGGTCGGACAAACTGCAATTTACATTCACCGGCTAAACTTGACCTGCTGGATCTCTTCCATGTTTCCCGTAAATAGGGTTCTTCAAAATGTTTCTTCTGTGTGGGGCTGTAGACACTTTATACCTTCGGATAAAAAGCGAGCACAATGTAGCTCATTGTAACAGAGTTAACCGCATTTCTTTGCAAAACTGCACTTGTCAAAGTCAACTGGATGTTGCGTTAAAACTACTCTGATGAATAGTTACTTAAGGAAACTGTAACAGTGTTACTACTACCCACATCTGCCATGATGATGTTGTGGAGTTAGTTCTATAGCACTGAAAACTGCATCCACAACATGTTTAGGTTTTAATGTCTGTGAATTCCTTCCGTAAACTGACCGAAGACTAAACCAAAACTGAGCAAGGGATTTTGTTTTTGTAACGCAGCTCTTTTGGAAGTCATTCGATTGTGCAAACACTCATTAGGTTCTGGTCATGTTAAGTTGTGCATTTTCACTGTGATACAGACATTTTGTTTTTGTCATCTTTCAGGATGCTCTCTGGTCCAGTACTAGCGCACCTCCTGCTCTGGGCCACGCTGTACGCCGCTCCCTCTCTCGGTCAGGCCTGCCTGTGCACAGCCCTCCAGCCTGCGGGTTTGCGAGTCAACTGCACCTCTTCTGACCTCCGGGCGCTGCCTCCTCTGCCATTAGACACCACAGAGCTCCTTGTGCCGGACAGTGGCCTCACCACCATCCCCTCAGGCCTGTTTGATAAAGCGCAGAGACTTCAACGTGTCTCTCTCGCGGGCAATCCTTACCACTGTGACTGCGGCATTGAGTACGTAAGGAACTGGCTTTTGAGGAACAGGGCCGCAGTCTCTCGGGAGCCAACGTGCTTCAGTCCCAGCTCAGTGGCTCAGAAAGCTATCACAGAACTCACTGATGACTACTTTATCCACTGTGCCCCGAGAGGCTGCGGTAGTATCACCTCTGCTGTTGTGATGGGAGTAATGCTCTGCGGCCTCATCGTTCTGCTCCTGTGGAGCCTGAAACTCGCCAAAAACTGCAGCTTCACCCTCAGCATTGAGGAAAAGCACTCGCAACTCAAGGCTGACTCTTTGCATGCGCTGAGAGTGAGACACAGGAGGAGGCAGTCACCTGACAATGAGCATTGTCAGCTACTCACGGAGGATCTGGAAAGGCACCCTGTCAACATGGAGTTACTGCCGCAAGTGCTTGATGTGTTGCAAAAGAAACACAATATTAAGATTAAGGCTATCTGAGGCACCTGTTTGAACACAATTCATGCAAACACTACAAAAGGCCGAGTCTTCGAAATAGAAGACTCTCTTCTATAACAATAAAGTTGGATTGTAAATTTAAGATGCTCCATTATTTACTTTTAAGACAAGCTAGAGAAATCCAGCCAAATGTATATATTCTAACTGTTGAGATGACCAATGGTACGATTCAAATTACTTTATGATTTAAAACCTGTCATTGAAATGTTGAAATTGAATTTTTCATAATCCAAGTCAAACATTTCTAAGGCAAAACTCTTCTTTGCAAAAACATGTTCTGTGTGCCCCCAACTCGTCTCAACATGGTTTTCTGATTGTGTTTGTCTCATTTGACGTAAGCAGCAAAATCGACCTGTTTTTTAAATCCGTCCCAGGACGCGTCTGTGCGTGTTGAATGAAAATGACATCACAAGTGCCTAAGGGCTCAGCCTGCGAATGTCACGTGACCAAACCCAGAAACCAGGTAAGACGTGACTGGTCGTTATCTGAGCCCCGAGTGACCGATTGTCATTTTCACTTGACAGCCAGTGGCAAAATGGCTGCCCCTCTGACATGGACAAAAACGGGTGGATTTTACCGCTAAACCCATATCCCACAAACACAATATTGATGCTGTGTTTGGACTAGAAGGGCCTCAAAGAAACATACGATTGTCAAGAAAACTTTGACTTGTCTTCCCTCTCAAATGATTCCAAACCAGATCAATCATTACAGAACCACATATTGGCCGCTTAAAGAACACAGGAATACACAGATTTGTGATGAGTCCTTATATTTTTTTGGAGTTAGAGTATTTACATTGAACAAAATACTACAAAGGGTCAAATATGGATTTCTCAAAAGAAAGCTTTTGATGTTAAAGGTAGCGAAGGTAACTGTGAACAGGTAAGTAAGAAAGATGAAAACACTGGTCAAGTCTCTCACAAGTATGCACAATGCTGAACTACTTGGGAACAATATTGCACGTCCAACAGTTTGTTCATACAGGAACAAGTTTCTCACTGTCATGCATAGATTTGTAAGGGTTAAAACATGTCAACGGTTGCAGTGCTCAAAAGGTGGCCCTCAACAATGGTCCAATGTTTGAAATGCTTGATAAAGCCTTCTTGTAACAAATATAGCATGATCTCAGGTTTGTAATGACACCAACATCAATGTGGTTTAAAAAAATATTGAGCAGAGTAAAACAAGGCAGTTCCCTAAAAGAAAAAAATGGGCAACTATCACAAAAGCCAGACAAAACATCAGCATTTTTTTTTTCTAAGATCTGTCCCGCTGCTGAGTATTTTCAAGTGCGGGTCAAAGCCCTCTGTGGTGGTTGAACAAAGTCCACAGTGTAACAGGTGGGAGTCCGCCCTGCCTCAATCTCATCCTTTACTGAGGCACAAACTTTTCCTTCTCAAAAATGAGCTCAACAGCTTCAGCCACATCCTGCACAATGTGGCCCGGCTCCACCAGGGCAGGGTCGAAGCGAAAGTCCCGGTGGCCGTGGAAAACCGTCTCTTTGATGAAGCGGCTGGCGTCGCTTGGCACCTGAGCTGTGGGGTTGTAGACACCCGTGCAGACTAAGACAGACTTACAGGAAGTGGCGGCGGGCAACGCCAGCTCGCTCTCCCACGTGTTGTCGACGTCGTCCTCCGTGGGCACCGCCGTGGCAGACCCTGTGGCGGCCGCCATCTTGGCGATGGCTTTGGGGCTCTTTCTCGCAACTCTCATGTCCAGGTAGCGGTTATACAAGTTAGCGCCATAGATATCAGTCATGAGGTTATCCCTGCAAATGATTGGGGAGGGGGGGATTATTCAGCACTTTCGACACGATTAACAAGTTGCATCTATTACAAAGCAGTGTCCGTTAAATTAACTTTATTCAATTTATGTAAAACAAAACAGTGATGCTTCAGCTGTAGTGGTTTCACATGTAGATATGAACTTTTTTTTTTGGTTTGGATTTTCACCTGGTTTTACCCATTTGTAACTGCGCAATGGCAATAACAAATGACAAGTACGGCACATTTGCGGGATCAAAGATGATGGCACTTCGTTACCGCCGAGTGAAGGACAATTAAGGGTGAAACTAGTTTTAAAAGCAATCTGAAGCATGTTTGTCATTTCAAGGGTGTTGTTTGGCTTGTTCGTTTTTGTATACCGCCTGTTACTGACCGATGACTTTTTAGCCTGTCACTTCCTTAACCCTTTCATGCACCCTGTAACCTGATAACATGATAAGCTATCCACTGCAGTAACCCGCTGTCTTTGAAAGGGTTAAAGCCACGTACGGCGCTTAACATATACGACTAGATCCCAGCAGATTTGTTTGAAAATGTTGAGTTGTCTTTCAGTCTTTCTGCTTCAAAGATATTCCTACTGATTTGCCTGGGTGCGACCACAAAAATGTAAGCAAATTCATTTTATGTTGGCTGCAATGCTGCAAGAATTAGCACATACGCCAAGGAAAGCCGAGCAAGGCAAAATTTGAGATGAAACAATTCTAATTTCGGGCTTCACCAGTCACATCCTGGAGGATGGCACAAACATGAAGCAAAGAATCAACTTCAAACTGCCAGTTCCTGCTTGGAATCCCAAAGTTCACCGAGTTGTTGCACGCTGTCATACGCAGGAGGCTGCTCTGACTTGGGATCATCCTTTGCCTTGTGGAGACTCTTCAAGCATTTGTGCCACTCAGATTTGCAGCCCCAACACTCGATTGGGACCTTCCCGAACTTAATCAGGAATTTCAAATTTGCCCTCAGGTTTGTGCCAATTTGACTCGTGTGAGAGCAGTGTGCGACACAAAAAAGAAGCATCAAGTCAGAAAAGAGAACAGTATCACAACAGAATAGTCACAAGGTGTTGCGCAACTTAGGCAGTTCACCAGCTGGCAATTAGCCATGGACGGGCACGGCTGCCACCATCTTGTTTATGTTCTGTCACACCTTGTATACAGATCCAAACTATGACATATCACAGGTACTTTTGGACATTGTATTACAACCGTATCAGTCTTCATATGGTAGAGCTCCGCTGCTTTCCAACCATCTGAATTTCTGCCAGTTCTTTTGTTTTTAATGCTCGATATACTAACTTCAACTGCCAGAAGACTGGATGTTCCTCGGTAAGACTCTTTTAACCCCGTGGAGCCTTATCACTCACACATACAGGATGTGGAAAAAGGAGTCAAAGATGAGCCCCGATTCATATACTATCTTAGTCACGCCCCAAACACAGGGGGATGATCAACAATGTGTTCGCATTTTCCTACATGTGACTCCACGTGCAAACTGGTTTGAACCGGTCTGAGTGTGCAAAGGGTGAAAATAGACATGAAAAGGGGCCTTAGCAAGTGCTCTCGCTCAATAGTTATGGGTGCCCTAGGGGCCACAATCCAACACATCCACCCATTCATCTATCCATCCACAAGGAAATCAAGAGTACCTGTGGAGAAAACCCACACAAGCGTGGAGAAAACAAGCAAACTCCGCGTGCAGAAAGACCTCAGTTGACACCCTAACGTCTTTTAACTGGGAGGCAGGTGAGCTCGAATGTATGGCTTGAGGCGGCGGTCCTAGTCACAGTAATTTTATTTACAGTGGCCCCACCAGTTGTTTTATCGCAAGGGGGAAAATTCGGTATCGTTTGATGCTGGGTCTATTAAAGAAGTGACCATGCTCTCGAGAAAGACTATAGTGTGTGTATGGTGTTCCCCGTTTGCAATACATTGGTTCGTTTGTGTCTTACCCTATCGCATAGAGGGAAGTGATGGGGCGTTTCCACTGCCTTTGCACGGCCTGCCCTCGGATGAGGAACTCGGCAAAATGGTAGGTCAGCTCACTTGGTTTTCCCATCAGAGCCTCGTACTTGAGGTCTTTACCTGTGATCTTCTTAAAGATATTCTCCAAGCACACGAGAAATGTGCCGTGGCCAAATCTGACACAAAACATGGAGAAACAAAACAACAGATGCATGAAACTTTTAACAACTCTTTCCAAACAATCAAACTTTCCGAGCCAGGATGTCGACCTCGGAGACTGTGCTTCGGCCATCCACATCAGGTCCATGTTGCAAGCCAGCAGCGGCAGGTGAGGTCTATTTTGGCTTTGATGATGGCTACTGAGATTGCCGTTGGTGAGCAACACATCAATGATGAGTTGTAGATTGGTCTCCCATCGAATTGGCTCCCCAAACAGAACCACAGCTGCATGGTTGGAATCGTATCAGCAAAAAACAAACAAACAAAAAAAATCTTAACAACCTGGCATGGTGGATGGATCCTCAACACGTGTCCTCAAAATCTTCAGAGGTATTTTTTTGGGGGGCTCTTTCAGAGAAGTAAAGCATACTCACCCTCAACCTTGGGAAGGTTACCTACAGGATTGGACTGCAAAGAAATAAATGAACCTTAATGTGCTGTTGAATAATACTTTATATTAATAATAATCTCTTTTCAGGGACACTTTGTGAAAGAAAAAGTTCATGTGCTTACAAAATGACATCATCATCCGAAATACAAACCCCAGCTATGATGAAGTAGGGACGTTTACAAACATGACCTGAGTGAGGATCAGTGGTTTGAAAACGAATGGATGGATGGACGGATGCACAGAATTACTTCAATCCATCAAAAGCTATAACTAGTAACATGCAAGGACTTTAAAGAGGCCGTGTGCGCAAAGGCACACCTAGTTTTAAATCAGCTCAAAGAACAAAGCAAAGCAAAGTAAGAACTACTGCTTTCTGTCACGTGTCAAAAAAAAAATAACAATCCAAAATGTTTTCCATTTTGCACTCATGTACATTGTACATAAAAGTACAACGCATGTACGATATGTACATACATTGTTTTTCAGAGAGTTTCTGCTTCAAATGGAGACGGAGGGCTGAAGCATATGGACAAAAAGGGTTATCGTGGCACCTAACGGTATATACTGCAATGTACACTTTTAGTGTAAAACATAGCAGCATTTCTGAATGGGTTATTTAAAAGTGGAAAAAAAAACAAAGATAGAAGGTCATTTTGAGAAATACCATTCTGTCGCTCCCAAAACTCATCATTCTATGGTGTAAAATAGTGCAAACAAATGCAAATAACATTGCTGATATTATTAACATTTAATATACTACTGTACTTTTGACCTTAAACGCTTCTCATCGTGGCTGGTGGAGGGGATGCGTGCTTAGGGGGGCTGTGCAGAAATCGGTGGCGACCCAAAGTGAGATGCAAATTATCCGTTAAAAAGGAACGGCGAATCAGAATTTTCAGATTTTAGTCAGAACACGTCATAACTTAATTGTTGTCGCATCTTGTCACAGAGCAATGTTTGGGTGGCAACAGTCACGTGTCGATATGACTTATGTACGTGGCAAGTGCATATGCATGAATGCGCGTGACATTTGTACATAGATATGTCTGCAAATGCATAATTGAATTGAAACGCTAGTTCACATTGAGTTTTTCATTTTGTTGCACCGTGAAGCGTTTCTTGGGGGAGGAAAGTGCAATAAGTGTCACATTCAAGTTCATTTGGCACTAATTTGTTAATGTGAACACGAATAGCGAATGCAGATTTTGGGTGCGAGTGTTCTAGCAAAAATGCTAATTTGCTGTTTAAAGGGGGTTGATCGCCTCCCTCCTTAATACAAGCCAGTGTAACATGAACATGGCTATGCTGATGATCTGATGTTTCTCACCGGTAGTTTGGGTCTCCTGTTGTGGTCCACCATGTCCAGAAGCGGGAATGATTCTCTCAGCATGTCAATACTAATGACGTTATTGAAGCCAAGACTGGGGAGCGAGAGAGTATTAAGGACAAACAGTAGTGAAACTTCAACGATTCAAAAAGTTCACAATCCAAAAAATGTTGAAAAATGATCATAAATTGATACTTTTTGGCAATTTCCAGAACTGGTCCTTGACCTGACACCAGCACACACTTGTCATGGAATTTCTTGAGCATCCTCAATGGACTGTGAGACATAATGACTTGATCTTGTGTGATCTGAAGCATAGATGAAGAATAAGTGGTTCACAAATGGTATGGATATTAAAGGAAACAATAATTATTGCAACATAGGCTTTATTAAGAACTCACCGGTACTCCAAGGATGTGAGAGAGCTGATCTGCTTTTGTTTGTCTTAGGCAATTCCCTGCATTTGTCACAAAAACCAGTGGCACCACAAACTGTCCCTGTGAATCCACCAACTTCTCAAAGGCCTTTTTGGCAGCAGGAATCAGCATCCTTCCCCGGAGGAGAACACCATCAATGTCAAACAGCAAGCCAAAGTTTGGCTGTGGCTGAGAAAAAAAAAACAAAAACAAAAAAAACATTGCATGCACTTAGAACTACTTTGCATGTATTTGTGAAAAATATGGTTTCCATTTATCGCAAAACTACAACACGTGACCGTTGCGTTCAACAATTGAACAACCTACACGAGGCCACGAGCCAAGTCTTGCCAATTTTAAGAGGATCTTTCCGTTTTAGTATGTTGATTTGTATGCCTAAAATAAATCACAACACATTACATTAATCTGCTTGATGACCAATACTGTCTGAATGATTCGGGAACAGTTCATCATATGATGCACTTATATGCCCATTATTCACAAAAGTGCCATATAGTTGTTTTTTTTTTTTGTTGTTGTTGATTTGTTTTGGCAAAGCATCGTACGTTCGGAAACAAATATTTGCAACGAGTTTGAATAATTTTAAGGGTAGCTAGATGTGTGACAATAAATACCTGTACACATATCTGAGGGTGTTTCGATATGTGGACTGACACTGGCTTGTATTATTTGGATGCAGGAGGTACAAGACCCGCATCCTCGAGTGTGATAGGGTTTAAGTGACATGGCAGTGCATATTGCTGCGATACGCCAAAACAACTTTGACTACTTGACTGTGTGTTTGTTTCAGTGTGACTATCAAAACTGGGAGCAACACATTCTAGCAGTGCCGCTGATCGCATCCGGGGAAACAAGTTGTGTCCTCTTTTGTGATCCCAACCAGCGCACATCCCCAAAACACGCGTCACACTTAACAGAGTCGATTCGATAGGGAAGGAAACTGAACCACACAAACCCACGATCTCCTGGTCATCATTTTAGTATTTTTAGGCTGAGACCGAACTCGGAACACGTTCCAACCGTACCTTGCTAATGGTTCCGCAAAAGCCGCAGCGAGAACCGACAACCGTAGCGTTTGGCCTCGCGTGGCGGCCGCCCCCGGAGGACAGGCCCCGGCACAATGGTAGGAGTCCCCGCATTTCACTCCCGTCTCGCCGAGCAAGGATGATTGAGCACGAACCAGCCTGCTGGCTCCGGCCCCTTCTTTTCTTTTCTCCGTTGACGTTCTCTACTCTAATGTGACTGGGTGAGGCCCTGTGACGTCAAATGACGTCGGGTTAGGCAATCAGGAGGGGCCAACTCTGGAAGAAAAAACCCCGCTGCCATTTTAGACACCGAGGCTCACTCGCGAAAATTCTATGGTTCTCGCATTTGAAGCAGCAGAAGTAAAAGATAGCCTCACATAAACGCCTCTGTTCGTGTCTGTGTGATTTTACGTGAGCGCTTTTTTCAGGTAGTGGGATTGACTTGTAGCGATTGTTTTTGCAGCGTGCGCTCCACCTAGACTCCTTTCGGGTTCTCCATTTTACTGCTACGGCGGCGCTGCTCGCTTATTTGCCGCAGGGGATGATATTTGAAAGGGAAACCTGATATACTCTTGTCTACACGCTCCCGGGTCCACGTACAAGTTTGACTTAAATTACTACAATCACCTCAAGTGCACCTGTCTATTGCAGCATACCCAAAGAGTAAATGCTTCACTCACGGCACTCCAGTCATACCACAATGATCAGTAAAACGAGACGCAAAGAATTCAGACACGCTCCTCTCCGTGCTCCTCCAGCTTTATTGATAGCTTAAAATTACATTTCTATTTTCTAGGACTTCAGTTGCACTTTCCTTCCGACTTAAAAACTGAGTACAAGCAAATGGTATTTATACAGTAGTCTAAGTGATATTGTACAAAAATAACATTTTGATTTCTGTGAAAACGTTTCATTCCGAAATAACTCCAAATTCACCTGTTCTGACAACTGGTCATGGCGGCTTTAAATTTGTCAAGGTAAAAAGAACAAAAACAATTCCAAGGCCATTTTAAAGGAAACACCTACCTTGGCCTACCAGGTCGATTTTTTTTAAATTGTAAACAGAGTTCTATGATAGAGGTTGCTCTTTTTCTACCTCCAAAATGCTTTGTGTCTTTGCAAGAGAAAATGTCGGCTCCTGCTTAGCTGCGTGTAGTGCTGAAATGCATCATGATATGAAATGTTTCCATGTCATTCTCCCATGGCCAACTCAACCCACTAAAAACAAATCAAAATACCCATACATGGAAGTTCGGTTTCCATTTACTCCCTTTTATCTCTTGGCAAGATATTCACTTCCACAAGCTCAGAGGTCCAACAGATTCCCATGTTTAGTCCCATCGATTCATCTCTGATCACCAGTGGCTTGGAAAGGGGGGGATCCTTTAACAAAGCATTATACATAACACCGCTACCAAACTAAAACATTTTTGCGTTGAATGCAGAAAGATTTTTTTCACCCCTTTCATTACATGTCGAGAGGCTCACTGGCCCGGGACTAGCCTCTATTGGCCAACCTTTGGCCAGTGAAGAGGATTCAGAGAAAAATAATACAACCAACCATCAATCTGAAAAAAAAGGAGGGGCAACAGAGGGCACCAATTATGCGGTGTCTTCGCAGGTGCACTCTTTTGCCAGGTGGCCCGCCTTTCCACATTTGTAGCAGTTGGTCTCGCTGGCTTTAGTGCAGTGCACCGCAACGTGACCAATTTCTCCACACCTACAGAGGACAATATCTCGGTTAGGGCCACGTGCAAGTGTTTCACCAAGATAATAGCACAGGATAGCAAACACTGACCTGTAACATTTCACCTTGTCACAAAGCTTTTGGATGTGGCCAAAGCCGCCGCAGGAGTAGCACTTTTGCTCGTTGGCGTCGCAATCCCGGGCCATGTGACCTGACTTGCCACAGGTGTAGCAGAGTTGCTCCCTCTCCTTTTTGGGCTCTTTGCAGTCACGAGAAATGTGGCCAGTCCTGTGGCAGTTGTAGCACGCTGAACAGGCAGAGAAGGAGGAGGGTCAAAGTGTCAACAACTTCCCCACAGATATTAACTGACATGGGGCTTCAATTTGTGACCTCATCTTCAATCGCAACCTCAACTAAGTAGAGGGCAATGCTCACCGTCCTCAGGTTGGTCACAGTCCCTCGCCAAGTGCCCTACGTCTCCACACCGATAGCAGGTCATGTCTGGATTGACACACACCAGCAGTTAAGATATTACAACTTGCAAGTGCTACCATGAGTTATGTTAAACAAACGCAAGCAAAGACGCCAAATTAAATGTGCAATGAAAAGATCTTATTCAAATCCAATTGCGGGAGTGGTCTAAATAATAGGTAGTACCCTTGCCTCGTCCCCTGCCCCGGCTACGTCCTCGTGAGCCACTACCACACACATTGGGGCAATGTTTGATCCAGTGCCCTGAGCGGCCACATCCGAAGCACTCGCTGCTGCAGCTCATCTCCATAACCTGAACAGACAAACACAGCATTTCAATACCAGCATTCTATTCACACAAACATCACTTGGAAAAGTGCAATCAAATCCACTGCTTAGAATCCAACTTTTGACTTGAGGGCCAAACTTTGAATTTAAAACTAAACGTATCTGGGATGGACACATCTAGCACGCTATATTATCCTGGGCAAGGGTTGTCTAATCTACAACCACCAAAGGGGTTGCTTTAGCATGAGGGATTCAGCTTCATCTACAACTATGCAGCTAACTTACAGTATGGAATCATGCTCTGAACGCCATTGGCCGAACATCAGTTTGCAGACGGTGCTGAAGACATCAAGTCAGGAAGATTGTGGGTTAATGTGTAATCAAGCCCCTCGTTTTAATACCCAACAGTAGACATGTGGTAAACGACGCATTGGGAGGCATGTTTTTCCAATTACCTTTGTTGTCAGAGAGCAAACAAACGCGTTGCATCAAACCGAAGGTAAGCATGCCTACATTTTTCACGTACCGACAAACTAACTGCAATTCCTAACACGCGCTTTGGCATCACCCGTTCAAGGCAGAGCGTCACATAAAATGGCTATGGCAGGAAGTCGTGGTTTTGTGAGCGTTCACTATGACAACATTGTCACGATAGCCTTTTTTTACAGCACTAAGTCAACTTGAAGAAACATTTTGGTCTGTCTAAAGGATGATCATAACGACTAAACTGCTTCGTTGAGGCTGGAAAACAATTCAGCGCTAAAGGTTGAAGCTACGCTAACGTGGGCCTAGTCACGTTGATGTTGCTACGCAGTCGCGAGAGAGCACATTCGTGCTAACCCACGCTAACACAACAGCGCACGCACGACCACGACCAAGAGGCACGCTTCAGTCGACGATACAGCTCCCGCCCCCGGCAAGAAAAAGCGTTCACCGGCAAATAACGCAACAAACGACTTTCGCAAATGCTTCAAGTTGAGCTTCTAGAGGAAATCTACATATAAAACGAACATTTCCCGCGCAGGAAAAACACGCCGAAGTCGTTATGCCTGCTATTAGCAGGCCTGACGGGGTCCCGATGCTCCGTAAACGAGCCCCAACCGGACAAGTTGCCGGAAACAAATCAACCAAGTGTCAATTTCACCTGGTACATGACTTCATAGTTGTTATGCTTTCGACATACGTCAGAATTAAATATCGAACGAGCAGTTTACAATTGGGGTTTCTTGCTTACCTCGCTAGTTCGAAGCTCTGTCAGTGTTTACGCCTCCTCCTTTGCGCTACATGCGGTGTGAGCATGAGCAGAAGTTCCTCAATTGTCATTCACGGAAATGAGTACAGAAAATCGCTATGATTGGCTGAGTGCTTTGATAGCAACCAATGAAATGCGACAGGTTCTGGACACCGCCTCTATGAATGAACCAATCAGCTGGACAAAACAGCATTTTCTTCCTTAAATTGAATGACAGTCGTACTGTAGTAGTAATAATAATAATAATAATAATAATAATAATAATAATGTTTAAAGTGATTTAACTAATTGTATGCTTTTATAAAAATTCAGTGACAATGTGATTGGAATTATAAGAAAAGAAAACCTTTATTAGTCTCGCAATGGAGAAATTCGCAATTCAATTCACAGCAGCAAAGTTATAGAAGTCTACACAGACTCACACCACTTTTACATTGCTTTTATTAAAATAAAAAAAAACATTCAAACAGGGTTATTCAGTCTATTATTACTGAATGCTCTAAATTGTCCCTAGGTGTGAGTGTGAGCGCGGATGGTTGTTTGTCTCTGTGTGCTCTGCGAATGGCTGGCAACCGATTCAGGGTGTCCCCCGCCTACTGCCCGTAGACAGCTGGGATAGTCTCCTGCACCCCCTGCGACCCTTGTGAGGATAAGCGGATCGGAAAATGAATGAATGATACTGTCATGGGCTGCCAGTGTCAAAAGCCCATTCACTTATCCTGCCATGCTTTCATGGATTCGGTGGGTCCATGAAAAACTGTGCTGTCAAAGCTAGACCTGAGCCTTGGTTTATCATGACAGAACCTGTGCAGCTAAGCAGTTGGAGAGACCAAAAGAGAACATTTATCAAAACTAATTCAGGCTAATTGTCAAAACCCACGTGTACTATTTAAAACTATTGATTCTGTACTAAAACCCCCTCAGCCAATTTGCTCAGACTCTTCACCCGAAATATGCAACAGATTCCTTCAGTTTTTCATTGATAAGTTTTCTACAGCTAGGACTCTTGTTTAAAATACCACGTATGACCCCTCTGTCCATGTTCAGCTGTGTTAAATTCTTTTGAAGCCTCTCATTAAGATAAGATAACCTTTTTTATTATTATTATTTGAGGCCACTTTTATCCTCTCTAGAGGAAATCAAGAATTGGATGGCACTGAATTTCTTGAATTTCAATGAAAAGAATGCAGAAGTGGTGGTGTTTGGTCCCAGTGGCCCTTGTACAGCCCATCCTGCGGACTTTGGCCCCCTGGGCCCCCTTATCTTAAGCCAAGAGTCTCAAACTTGGGTCTTAAACTGGACAGTGGTTGTAAATTGGACCGGCAAATTGGTGCCATTGTTAAATCCATCTTCTTTCATCTAAGGCAGCTGCCTAACGTAATTAAAGCCTGTCCTTTCTAAAGAGCACTTTGAAACAGTCTCTCATGCCTTCGTCACATCCCAGCTGAATTACTGTAATGCATTTTACTTTGGGCTCAGCCAATCCTCCATTAAGTGTCTGCAGTT